TCCGCCCTCGAGTCTTAAACCTCATATTTAGAATAACGTTACTATCTGCAATGTTCCTATATTTTATTTGGACCATTAGCTCCATGTTACTAACTAGCTGTTTAAAAAATCACCCATCAGCCAACACCACGAAGCAACCAACGCCAGACCCACAATGCAACACCAGACCCACACCGCACAGCCAAGACACAGCCAGCCGGACAACCCCAGTTAGCTTAGCTACAGTAGAAAGCTATCGTTAGCTTTGTACTGCTACATCCATCAGACAATATGTTCCACTAGCTTAGCAGTAATGTTAGCTTTGACTTTGTGTTGGACTCTGTGTTGGACTCTGTGTTGTGGACTCTGTGTTGTGGACTCTGTGTTGGACTCTGTGTTGTGGACTCTGTGTTGTGGACTCTGTGTTGGACTCTGTGTTGGACTCTGTGTTGTGGACTCTGTGTTGGACTCTGTGTTGGACTCTGTGTTGTGGACTCTGTGTTGGACTCTGTGTTGGACTCTGTGTTGGACTCTGTGTTGTGGACTCTGTGTTGGACTTTGTGTTGGACTCTGTGTTGGACTCTGTGTTGTGGACTCTGTGTTGGACTCTGTGTTGTGGACTCTGTGTTGTGGACTCTGTGTTGTGGACTCTGTGTTGGACTCTGTGTTGTGGACTCTGTGTTGTGGACTCTGTGTTGTGGACTCTGTGTTGGACTCTGTGTTGTGGACTCTGTGTTGGACTCTGTGTTGGACTCTGTGTTGTGGACTCTGTGTTGAGGACTCTGTGTTGTGGACTCTGTGTTGGACTCTGTGTTTGGACTCTGTGTTGTGGACTCTGTGTTGTGGACTCTGTGTTGTGGACTCTGTGTTGGACTCTGTGTTGGACTCTGTGTTGTGGACTCTGTGTTTGGACTCTGTGTTGTGGACTCTGTGTTGGACTCTGTGTTGTGGACTCTGTGTTGTGGACTCTGTGTTGTGGACTCTGTGTTGGACTCTGTGTTGTGGACTCTGTGTTGTGGACTCTGTGTTGGACTCTGTGTTGGACTCTGTGTTGTGGACTTTGTGTTTGGACTCTGTGTTGTGGACTCTGTGTTGTTGACTCTGTGTTGGACTCTGTGTTGTGGATTCTGTGTTGTGGACTCTGTGTTGTGGACTCTGTGTTGGACTCTGTGTTGGACTCTGTGTTGTGGACTCTGTGTTGGACTCTGTGTTGGACTCTGTGTTGGACTCTGTGTTGTGGACTCTGTGTTGTGGACTCTGTGTTGTGGACTCTGTGTTGGACTCTGTGTTGTGGACTCTGTGTTGGACTCTGTGTTGGACTCTGTGTTGCCCACTGTTGGCACTCGGGAGCATAAAGGTCACAACCTTTGACCCTCATCCTACATAGAGACACATAGAGACACATAGAGATCAGTCCACAGGCAGCAGAGTGTGACGAAGTAAAAGAGGCTGAACAGAAGTGTTTGAGTGTGATTTTGGCTCGTCTATCCTCTGCAGCTCTGTTTTCCACTCAGCAGCAGCCGTATGGTTCCTCTCATGTAGTGTGAGATTTGCAGGGTGGCATGAGAGCGTCTGACGGAGCCTGAGAGTGACAGTGTAACAGTAACGTCCGCTGTGTGTGTGACCGTCTGCAGGAACATGCTGCTGGGTGAGATCGACCGGGAGGAGAGGGAGCGCTGCTGGTACTTCAGCCAGCTGGAGGCGCTGTCACAGAGACTGGCTCAACTGCCTCGCATCGACACGGTAAGAACACAGACCACACACACACACACACACACACACACACACACACACACATACACACTGCTGCAAAGTAACTAAGTACTCGAGGTACTCAGAAATGTAATATTCACAGGTATGTTTTCATTAGTGTAAAATCTCCTGAAACGAGGGAGCTGGTCCTCTTCTGGTGGCGGAGTCCGCCATGTTAGCCCGGAACAGGCAAACCAAACACTGACTGTAGACAGAGACTTTCGCAGCCACCGTAGTTTCTTCTACACTCGTTCTCATTCCCAGGTTGTCAGATACAGACGTGAGCAGTGTTCAGTTAGTTGCAATCTGCAATTTCACCACTAGATGCCACTACACTGACCTTTAAGTATTTTCATTTTCTGCTACTTTATGCTTAAAAGTACAACATTTGCGTCTGAGAGCACAGTACAACTATAAACTAGCAGAAAGTAAAAGTACCTCCAAATTGTCTTTCAGTACTTGAGTAAAGATACTTACGCTGTGATCAGATTACAGTAACCAGGGTGCGGTCTTCAGTATCTGATAAAGAGATGATGGATCTGACCTCTGACCTCTGACCTGTGTGCGCTGGTGCTGCAGTTCTCTCTGCAGATGGATCTGATCCGGCAGCAGCTGGAGTTTGAAGCCCAGCAGGTTCAGTCTGTGATGGAGGAACGCTTCGGTACCAACGACGAGATGGTTCAGAGGACTCAGGTGAGACAGCTGATTGGACATTTACAGCTTCACATTAATACAATGTATTAACAGGTAAATTAAATGTGGTCTGTAGATCATTAAAAGAGTGTAGCACCTTCATCAATAATATCTCCTACAACATGAATGCCATGAATCTTCCCATACTCGAGATTAAAACTAATTATGAAAGATTGGATTGTTTGATTCTCTTTCTGCTTTACGTCACACTGACAACAAGTTATAACAGGGCCAAAGCGAAATTCTGCACGTTTTAGAGGTACGGCAGAGTGGATTATATCGTCTAATCTATGGGACCGAACTACACTGTAAAAAAACAAATGGTAATATTTCCGCAGCTGGGCGTAAACAAATACAACAACATAACAGACTGACAGACATACAGTAATTTTCTACAAAATAAATACAGTTTTTTGCTTTAATTTGACATCAAATCAAATTTTTGGGCTTTTTACTGTTTAATTAAAGTTATTTACAGTGTAAAACAATGAGCTATAAATCCAGGTGAACTCTGCTATAAAACAATAATCAGGCTTACATTTACACGAGTGCTGTTATTATTGAATTTTTATTATTTTAATCTCTTAAAAGTTTTAGAAGTGTAATAAAAGTCATTATCTGTGAGATTACAGTAATTATTGCTGTTTACACTGATAACAACTGTATTTGGACAGTTTACCAATGCTTATACACTGATAAACAACATTTATTCAACTTCCACAATTATACAAGATATCTGTCAGTTAATAAACAAATCCATGTATTTAAAAAATAAAGATAAAATATGTAAAATAAATGGGAAAAAAACCCTGTAAACTTACAGATTGATTTTTACAGTAAATAGTTTATTGTAATAATGCTATTGAGAGAGGAAAAATGTCAACTCCAATATATTTAAAGTACTAACAACAGATGAACTATCTCAATTCATTATAAATATTATGTACGTTGTGTTGTTGTTGACATCTGGTTGGTAGAAGCAGCACATCTGGATGTGTCTGAACTGTGTGTTGCAGATGCGAGTTGCTCGTCTGGAGCAGCTGCAGAAGGAGCTGCAGGAGGCCCGAGGGAGTCAGGAGAACCAGCTACAGGTCAGACACACACAATACACACACACACACACACACACACACACACACACACAATAACACACCATAATACAATAACACACACAACAATCCATCATACAAATGATTAATTGTTTTATTTTTATGACTCATCAATTAATTTTTATTTTGTTTTTAAAAGTCGCAAAAAGGGAACTAACCAAATCTAAATTTAAAGTGTTACTACTAAAGATACGTTCACATTTTATTTTAATTAATATTACAAAAGAATTCAACTAAAACATCTTTTCCATCAAGAAGAGCCTTCAGTGCCGTTCTTTGCTCTCCTTTCAATAAAGAAATACTGTCCAGTTCTGACAGAACTGATGCTAGCAGCAGCTACACTAACCCCTTCAACAGAAAGAAGGGGTGGAGGTGGGTTGCAAAGCGGCTTGCAGAGGAAGCAGCAAAGGCAGGCAGGCTAAAGCAGTTTCAATAAGGCTGCCTGAATGACATTTGCCCATTGGATGCTTAAAGGGAATCAGTTGATATGTGTTTACGATCAGCTGCAATCAGCTGTTGTAACTGGAATTGTGAGCTGAGCTGAGACTTTGTGGTCTGCCTAAGTTCACTCAGCTCCCTGTGTAGGCTCTACATCTTCAAAGCTTTTAAGGATCATAAACCGCTGTCCGCCACATAGCTTATATTCCGCAATAAATAACTTGGTTCGACTACAAAAACAGCATCCCTGCAGCTCTCTGTAAACATCACTGCAGCAGCCGTTCCCAGTCTAACGCCACCTGACACAGCGACACTGAGCCCTCATAGGCCCAGACCCAGAAACCTGGGTACAGAGGCTCAGTAAAGGTGGAGGTGAAGGTGTGAAGGTGGACCATGGCATCCTGAGAGACACAGTAGAAGGACAGAGAGCCTGCAGACCAGTTCAGGTAAACCCCGACTCTGTGGGTGAAGGGTCGGGGTGAGGAGGACCTGAACCTCTTGTTATCATGGCACGGGGTGTAGCTTCCCTCTGAACACTCCAGACTCCAGGACCACTGATTGTGTCCCAGCAGACAGCTCGCAGTGTCTCCACCTCTAGAGATGCTGTTGTACGTGACGCCGATGTCGGCGCCGCCGCTCCACACCACCTCCCAGTACACAGAGTCCAGCAGCCCCTCCCTGCACAGGACCTGAGGGCAACGCTCGAACCGCTCCGGGTGGTCTGACCGTCGATTTTCCGACCACATTCGAGTCGCATTCCTGTTGCTGTTAGACAGATGGAGCTCAGAGTTGGCAGTGTTGGGGTCAAAGGTCAAATAGCATGCAACTGAGGGACAAAACAAGAAACAAGATTAGTCAATTCAGTAGTTAATTTTTATATTATATAAGATATATATCTTCTCTACAGCAGGAACATAATGTAATGTAAAAAGTTCTCTCTCTTTGGAGATGAGTTCATGGGTCTAATTTGGGCTCTGCTCAGGAGGAGTAGTACAACTACTCTCAGGGGTTGGCTGAAGTGCTGTTGACCCTGATTGCCCGAGCAGATGTGAACTTACAGTTAAACTGTGATAGAATTTAGCCCCAAACCTTCTGACTATGACAGTACTCAGTGAATGTTAAACCTCTATGCAGATGATACTGTAATGTTTATCTATGTAGGAGAAATATTTATAAGGGAAGCAGAAACATAAAAAATCTATGTGAACTTACAGTTTTTCACCAACCACAAGTCGTCTCCTGGTTGATCCCTGCAAGAGCAGAAATAACCACAACATCATAAAGATAAACAGGATTTTACAGTTTGAACCTGACAGTCTGGCTGCGGTTCAACTCACCCCAAGTCCTCTTTGTTTGGGTCTCTCAGATGAAAGAGATGGATCCCAAAGGACAGAGACTCCCAGGGAAGAGTCTCTAATGGCTTCTCATCTTCTTCTATCTCATTTATCCTCTCGTCTATGGCTGACACTGAGTTAATATACAGTATAATACATGTAACGCTGTAAAATCATAAGGCAACGTTTTTTTATTTAAAAACAACCCAGAAAAAAATATCAATATTGGACATTGGACTATTATTCATGGCAACTACTGGCAGGTTCTCACTACCAACTCGTCAAATATTGACGCTTGGTCAGTTGCCCGCTGCTCAAAATATGACGCTGTAGGTGTCCCTCTAGCGTCATCTGGTTGCGCAGTTGGCAAGAATAAAGCCTAGTTAGTCTTTCAAAATAAAGTTTACATGGTTCATTTTGTAAAAACAGTTGCAGTTTGGATAGGTTTGGCACAATAGCTCCTCGGTTATGATTAGGGAAAGATCATAAGTTGCGTTACTTGAATGAAACGTAACTCACATAATGTACGGGACGTAACTTTTTGGGGGATTGTTGCAGCCTAAAATTCCTGATCTCAGCATTACTAAAAAATGTTTTTGCAATGTTTTTAGGATGTTTAAATGAAAATTTCAAAAATAGATTTTTTTCTTGTATAATTCATTAAAAATCAATGGCAACTTGTTCCAGTGAGAAAATCACTTGCAGTTTGTTGACATATGGCTCAAAGTTGTGCAAGGGACTGCTATGATTGGTGAAACTGACTGGAAACATCAGAGACAACTGCCAAAAGCTTAGAAAAAAGGCCTAATGCTGTGATATAAAGTTATTCTAAGCAGAGAAAAACATTTATGAGGATGTAATGGAATAATCCAGATTCAAACATATTGACTCAGACAGTTTTGATATCATACAAGTTTTGGCTTTCTCCATAAATGTTTAGTTTTGAAACAGTGAAAATGAGCCTACCTGTTTCAGGGAAACTTGTCGGTTCCGTCTTCTGTGCAGAGACTTCCAGTTTGTCCATCCCGTCTTTCATGTTGTTGTTTTTCTCTGCATCGACTGTCTCTTCCTTCTGTTCAGAGAGATTTCCCCTAAAACGATCATCCAATTGTTCTTCTCTCATCTCTGCAAACGTCTTTTTAACTCCCTGATTGTCCCCTGCTTTTTGAGAAGTCTTTTGGTCTCTACTGAACAGACTCTTCAAGGGTTCATCAGTCCTTTCAGCTTTCAAGCTTTTTATCTTGAAGGTGTTTAATGAGTCTTCTTTCGCAGTGTCACTCTCCTTCGAAAGACCAGTTCTTGAGACGTTAGAGATGTCGTCTTTAAAATTACTGAAGTCTTTGAGTAAGCTCAGACGGTCGATCATCTTCTCTGTGGACTTTGTCTCTGTGTCCTTGGACAAACTCATGCTGGTCACATCTTCTTTCAGAAGATTGAGTGTACTGTTGACAGGTATATTTTCTGCTTGACTCGATGGGCATTCTTGATGCTCTGACTTTGTCTCTTTGTCCTTGGACAAGCTAATGCTGAAGATCTTGGTCATGTCTTCTTTAAACTGGCTGAAGTCTTCCTTCAGAAGACTGAGGGTACTGCTCACAGGTTTATTTTCTGCTTGACTCGATGGGCAGTCTTCATGCTCTGTCTTTGTGTCTTTGTCCTTGAACACTTTCAACACGTCTTCCTTAAAATGGTTGAAGTCCTCTTTGAAAAGACTCAGTGGGCTTATGGCCCTTTTGTCCCTCTGACCTGTCATGAGAAGGTCTTTCTTACAGTCTGGGTCTGATTGATTGGTCTTGTCATCACTTTGGAGACGTATTTCAGGCTCTTTCTGTTCATTTTCCTGCGAAAGTTCCTCAACAAGACTCATTTTCTATATTTTCTAGTCTTGTAAAGTCCTTTATTGATGTTCCTTTCAGACGCTGTGAATTGTTTCATAGTCGGAGACGTCAGAGCAAACCTGTTTTACCAGATCAATGTGGAATTAAGTAGGATTAGTGATGATTTTACATGATGTTTTGTCTAGAAATAACATTTTCTTTTCTTTCTGTAACTGCTCATTCCCAATCATAAAGAGGAGAATTTTGGGAAGTGCCGTCAGCAAAACATTCGGGCCCTGCCCCGGTTCTGTGGCTCATTTGAGCCCCGCTCCCCGGCAGTATTCCCTTGATTGATTAAGTCTCGTCTCTTACACAAGCAGTTTATGTAAATTAAGTGATCTGGGCTCAAATTAGGGTCAATATGTTAGCTTGCTGATAGCATTTAGCTCAAAGCACAAGTACAAACTCACCGAGCTGCTGGCATGGCTGTAGATTCATCTTATTGATCAAATGTTTCAGTCTATCAGATAAAAACCGTCTGAAACTTTAAAATAATTTTACATTTAGATCATATGAAACAGTTACAAGCAGAAAATCCTCAAACTGGAGAAGCTGGAACCAGAAAATGTTTAACTACTGAATTAAATATCGGTCAGATACTCTCATGTCCCATGTTTGTCTCTACAGCTCTCAGCTTGTGTTCAGGCTTGTTTAATCTGGTTTCAGTAGTTCCCACAGATCAATCAGGACGTCTCTGTCAGATACTCACAGCTGCTTCAGGCTCCATGTTCTTCTCTGATTCATCCATTTAAAACAAAGTCATTAAAAATCTAAAATCCAGACCTGTATTCTCAGTGGGACAGCTCTCGCTGTGGCTCCAATCTCCGTCTGTCTCTGTGTTTGAAAGGACGTTGACATTCTTCCATTCAGCTGCTTCTGGTTAGACCAGTTCGTCTCCATATTTCACTGCTTAGCTGATGAGCTGGGGGTGCTTAAGGAAGAAAGTAGAGTGAAAATCCTCCACAGGGTTCAGCTGCTTCATCACAGCCATAAAATCCAGTTTATTCTCAGTTTCACGCCCATTTCTATTTACATATTAAAATGTCCAACAGAAATAAACATATTTACAGCATTTTGGTCTCTAGAGCTAATTTCCCCATTCATGACAACTGTACGTTTATACAACTCACCCGTTAAAATTTTATTTAGGCTTAAAGTTATGCATAATTAAGTTAAATTAATTAGTTTGTGTTTAACAAGCTGTTCAATATTCATGAGATGTTTATGTATTTGTTTAGTTAAATTACAGTTTTTTAATCTGGGACAGTTGAAGTTTCTGCACCGTTACATAAAATGTGAAACAGTCAGTTTTCTCTTCATGCTGGTTGTCGGGGGAGAGGAAAGGTCTAACTTTATAATGAATAAATCATCTCAGCTGTGCTCATTCATTATTCAGTAGGATTAACTCAATGTGACCTTTGACCTACTAAAAAATGAATCATGAAAAACAGTAAGATTTAATTCATGCTGTTTATTAGGATATATTTATTGTAGGATGTTTTTACACTGTTTGTGTAAAAGGTTTATCGTTCATGTTATTGCGTCTCATTCATCTTTTTTCTTTTACATGTTTAAAATAAATACAAAGATCTTCAATAATCTGATTACACAAATATTTTGATCAGTTTAATTAACGAAACAGTGAAAATTTAAATATATTTAAATGAAACAAACAGTGGACTGAGAACAGATCCCTGAGGGATGCCACAATTAAACTGAGCTACAGAGGAAACATGATTGAACATACATACATACAGAGATCAGTGGTGGAAAATACAATTTAATCAAATAATAATAATAATAATAATAATAATAATAACTTTAGATATATAACAGAAAAAATAATCATTGTGATACAAAAAATCTAATTAAAAATAAGAATAATTAATACCAAAATACAATGATAAGAACATAGAAACCTTAAAAATAAAATTTAAATCTAAAAAAAGTGATTAAAAGAAGTCACTGATTCTCCTCAGGCAGGTCGGTGCTGAGGGGTCCTGATGGTGTTAGATTAGATTGAATGTAGGCCACTGACTATATATATAATGAAGATATGTAATAATAAAAAAACAATACCATGCACTCAACTATTTCTGTGCTCAGATCTGTTCACAAACATATTTCAGTCTTATCTGGAAAACGAGATCGTGTGAGACCAGACGAGCCGCCATTGTTTCGAGACGAGTTGAAACTGTGCAGCCGATGTCGTCTGTACTCCACCACTGACAAAGCATTCTGCATGAAGAGAGAAATATATATGAAATATATGATGCTAATACTTTTTGACTTTTACTTGTAGCAAAGTATTTATACACTGTGGTAAAAGTACTTCTTCCATCACTGACACAGACGGCAGGAAACAAAATACAATATAAAGCCATAAATACGTTGCAATGTTTGAACTAACCAGCTGATTCCTGTCTCGCTCTCATCTGAAAATTAGCTGACTGTCAATCTTCTGGTTTATTAATGTCGTAGATGTGATTCAAATTTTTCACTATCTTCCAGGAATATAGACCAAACTGTTAATCCGTTCATTAAAGTATTCAGCAGATTAATCAATAATCGCTGTTCAATAATGACCCAGAAACATTTGAAATGGATTTGGTCTCCTGTATTCTGGTTCAGACATACAGACCCTCCTCCTCCTCCTCCTCCTCCTCCTCCTCCTCTTCCTCGGCTCCAGCTCGTTGCTATGCAGAGGAACCAGCCGACTCAGAGCTGAGCTGTGATTGGCTGTTGCCAGGCTGCAGGGTTGGCACCGAGCTAAAGTGTCTGAGATAAAGAGAGCGAGTCGGCTCGTCCTTTCTCTGCTCCGCTCCCCTCCGAGAATAACAAGGAGGCGGCGGAGCGACGGACACATCACTCACTGCAGAATGCCTCACTGTGAGAGGAAGAGTTCAGAGCCTCATTAAAGAGCCTCGTTAAAGGGTCAGTGCACCCAAAGCACAGAGACACACTGACTCCTCCCACCGCTGTCCGTCCCTGCACACAGGTTCACATACATCCTGCTGGCTGTGCTTTAGAGGGACTATTTTTTTCTGTCGTTCCTGTGTTAGATCTGGTCCAAATCATTAAAGCTGATCGGGGGGGTACTGTACATTTTCGGGGTGTGTTCAGTGTCGTTTAGAGAAATCCTGATAAACCCATCAGCTGCGTTTCTGCTTGCCAGCGTCCATTTTGTCGTCATGTGTGCAGCTGCTCGTGTTTAATGGAGGTTTGGATCAGAGCCACAGACTGAACACACACACACACACACACACACACACACACACAAACACACACAGACAGACAGACAAACACACACACACACACACACACACACACACACACATACACTGAGCTTCATTTGGATTCACAGTCTGAAATCCTCAGAGAGTTGTATCACAGCTTTCATCCCCCTTTTATCATCCCGTTACCATGGCAACGCCTCAGGGTGTGAGTGTGTCTGTGTCTGTGTGTGTGTGTGTCAGAGAGAGAGAGAGAGAGTGTCTGTGTGTGTGTGTGTGTGTGTGTGTGTGTGTGAGAGAGAGAGAGTGTCTTGTGTGTGTGCATGTGTGTGTGAGGATCAGCATTCAGGCAGAGAAATGAACGTTTTCCAGAGGAGATCTGATCTGGAATCTGTTTTCAGTATACTGATGCAACAATAAACACAGAGAAAGATAAATAAAGATAAAATAGAGACAATACGACTATTATTTAAATAAATGAATGAAGAGCTGCAGTTTGTGTTCACAATATGACTCATAAAGGATGTTATAATATATAAAGACTCAAAATCTAATAAAGAAATAGCTTAAATGTCGGCTGGACGTCATCAATTCAAAAACATGACAAACAGAAGAAAACAGGATAAATAATAACCAATAAATACATTTATTATGTCAATATACAAAATTAAACTGGTTTTCTTTCTGTGGTTTATATAAATATAAATGTAATAACTTTTGTCTGTTTTATGGTTTTTAAACACTCCTATTTCTTGGACGACACAGATTGAGAATGTCTAATATTGTTTAATATGGATCAGACATGTAATGTATGTTTGTACTTCTGATATCACTGACAGGAATCAGATAATCTGCTTCCTCCACCTCATTCTCCTCTTCGTCCCTGTGTGTGTATGTGTGCAGCTGTCCGGAGCAGAGAAGCCCCCTGCTGGAGAACCGGAGAACAATCCGTCATCAGCTGCAGCAGCAGGATCAGAAGCTCCTGCAGATGGAGGCAGCAAGGTGAGACAACACTGCCCCACCGAGGGGCAACATAGGGATTATAAAGGGGTTATACAGGGGTAATAAAGGGGTTATAAACTGCTCACAAATAATCCATATCTCTGGTTTTACACAAACTTCCTGCAGTTATTGAGTTCACTGTTTGGATTCATTGATCAGTTATCAGCTGTTCTCTGCTGTTATTGATACAGATTGATAGAATATGAAATATACTGAAAATACAGTCAGTTTACTCACTGATAGAAAAGTGTCATCTAAAGGAGATAAAGAGAAACCTTTAACAAACACTGAACAACTGATTGATTAAATACCGCGGTGGAAGTATTCAGGTCATTCTCTGAACACCAGAGGTTAGAAACACTCTCCTCGTACTGCAGGATGGCCCAAAATGTATAACTGGATTATAATTATTAATGTGTTCATCAGTTTCATGTTGCAGCTGGTAAATGTGGGGCTCATTACACTGACTTTATATACTGCTGCTACATTAACCAAAAATAATACATCATTATTTATTATCGATTTTATTTTATATTAATAATGTGAATCTGCTGAAGATGTGGTGGAGTGAAAGTATAAAGCAGCATAAAATAGAAATACTGAAGGAACTTGAGTGACTCTGAGCCTCCCTGCAGGTGGAGATGGTGTTCTGGCTGCTCTCCATGCTCGCTAACAGAGATAAGGAGGAGATGTCTCGGACTCTTCTGGCTCTGTCCAGCTCTCAGGACAGCTGCATCGCCATGAGGAAGTCTGGCTGCGTCCCCCTGCTGGTTCAGATCCTGCACGAGGCTCCAGGCAGTGGCAGCGGGCCTGGCGAGACCACAGCGAGTGGTACAACAGCGGCGGGCTGCAGCCGAGAGGCCAAATCCAGAGCCGCTGCGGCCCTCCACAACATCATCTACTCCCAGCAGGACGAGGGCCAGGCCCGCCGCGAGATGAGGGTGCTGCACATGCTGGAACAGGTCCGGACCTACTGTGACAGCGGCTGGGACTGGATCGAGAGCCACGCAGGGACACCTTCGCCTGCAGGAACCAAAACCACTGGTGAGTCAAGTTTTTGGGGAATTGTTGCAGCCTGAAATTCCTGATTTAATGGCAGCTTTTCTAAAAAACTACCATGTTTTTACTAGTGCGGCCCTCTAATAGTCGACTGATCCGTCAGTCTGTCAGTCTCAGAGAAACCAAACCAACGTTAGACTGCGTTCAGGAGCTGCTCCTCATGTTACTGCTGCACTGCTGCATATGCTAACTGTGCTAGCTGCTATTAGCTAGTTAGCTGTCCTATTAGCTGTCTGTACCCGGACTGGGAGCTGGAAGGACAGGGGGAGTTTAAACACTGCTAGTGTAGCAGCAGAGGGACCCAGCGGGCAATACTCCCACAGAATTCATGGGGGTTGATTGAATTTGGGTTATTTGTTACTTTTGCCACTTCCTGTAGTGAGGGATATTTAGAGGCAAAGGTTTCCTCATTCAGCAGATTTATCGTTATTCTAACCTTCTTTTTTTTCTTCTCTGCAGACATTCCTGAACCTGTGGACCCTCAGATCTGTCAGGCCATGTGTGCCATCATGAAACTTTCCTTTGAAGAGGAGTACCGGCGCGCCATGAATGAATTAGGTTTGTGAAACACCATCAAATCTTTGGTTTTTCCCAACATCAGTGACACACTCAGCTAACAGTTGTGTGTTTTCTTCCAGGCGGTCTGCAGGTGGTGGCTGATCTGATCCACCTGGAGCAGGACATGTACGGAATGCAGAATGACCCCATCAACATGGCGCTGCGCCGCTACGCAGGCATGGCGGTGACTAACCTCACTTTTGGAGACGTCGTCAACAAGGTACAAAAAGAATGGGCAACTGGAGCGAGTACAGAGACTTTATTGATCACACTCAGTATCACAGCAGCAAAAGGAAGTATAGAAACATATCATATGGATAAGAGAAGCAACCTCAAAGCAAAGTAACTAAGTACATTCAAGTACAACTTGGATGTATTTTCATTCTAAGCTACTTAATACATTAAACTGTTGTTAGCTTAGTACAAGGGTTAGCATTGTTTTGCAACATAGTAAATGTTGGCTTGTTTGAAACATTAGCCTATTGTTAGCTATACTGTTAGCGTTACAATATTATTAACCCTGGTGTTAGCATAAGTATGCTGTTAGTCTT